TAATCTGGGCCCCCTGTTACCAGTCAAGTTGACACATAAAAGTAGCCATCACTATTATTTTCCTACTTTATTTTTATTATGCTAAGATATAAAAATTACATGTCAATTAGTGTTAAATGACATTGCCCAACAAATGACACTTCATACAGTCTCATCTTCCAGTCTATTTAAGAAAAGTGGCATTTAGGTCATACTGAATCCAGGTTCTAAAAGTCAGCTTCACTGTGTTTCCAATGTGATAGCCCCTCTGAGTGACCACCTGAGATAATTTCAGATTTGGATAGCCATTCCCTCTCACATGACCTAACAGGACACAAACTGCCCAGATTCACTTCGCTTAGCTGATGGATGCAGGATAGGAGAGAGAGTGCTGGTATGGCTGCCTCAGGTGGGAATTCAGTGTGGATCTTCACCATGGTAAGGGAGGTACTTTATTTCCTCCTCAGGACAGCTCATTTGTAAGGAAATAAGACAAGGTGGGTGTGTGAAATTCCATTGCCTAGGTAAGCCTAGTGCTCCAAAGGATGAATTACCTTGAAGAGCCATGAAAGAGTTTCCAGGACTAGAACTGAGTTAGGGATAAGAATATCATCGCTGGTCCATCTGCCCCAGGCGCAAGTCTTGTCATTTGGCAGAGGCTTGATAGAGGCCTCCGCTTGGTCTATAGTTTCGTTTCTCTTTTTCTGCCCTCTCCGCAGAATTTAACTTTCTGTTTCACTTGGCTCCACTTTATCACATTGTGAAGATCGGGTAGCTGGTTTGGCAAGTGAATCCTGACCACTCCTGCCCCGGTAGGAGCTTCTCCATTGTCATCTGCAGGTGAGTTGAGTAGTCTGTAGAGGGCAGAGGTGGGGAAACTTCAGAGGAAAAAACTGAATTTGCTTGGGTGAGTTTAATTTGTTTTCAGGAAGCTATTCTGAACGGAGGGAAAAAAAAAACAGCTTGCAGGCTCCTTGCTGAGAGTGCTGACTGAAGTGCAGTCTGGGGGAGCAGTGGGCTTAAAAAGAACAGAGGTTTGGAGAAGTGAAAGGCTTTGTTTGTTTTACAGAGGGACTGTTATTTCTCCAAACTATTTACCCACATCTCCTACACCTTCTATAATTTTGAATTGCACTTTGCTAAATACTGTGAGATGACTTGAGTTTTCAGAGGTAGAAATTCCCAAGGATCTTTGAATCCTGATAGTTTACTGCCTATCGGTGTAACAATCTAGTATTTCTGCATGAGTCAGCAGATAAAGTCTCGTCTCCTTGGCCTGTCTGTGCTTAGCAGCCTTATTGGGGTGACAGCGCAGCCTTTATCCATTCACTTGTCCAGACAAAGGGAATTGCTGCAGGTTCTTAAAAATCCCTAACGTTGTTCATCCTTCTCCTTGGGCCATATCTGCCACCCAGAAACAGAGCTCAGCTGAGACATCAAGAGTAAGAGGTGTACGAAGGAAGAATTTCCGGAAGTGGTATCTTTTCTAACTTTTAATAAACAAAACGAGTTCTTCATTGGTGTTAATAATATAAAATGATGTCAGAAGAAGCAGTATGATGACAGCATTCTGAGTTCCATGAGGGAAGGAAGTTAGAGTAGGGGAGCCTCTGTTTATTCCCCCTTCCTATAGAGGGTACAGCTGCACCCGCCTGACTCAGGCATGTGGAAGACACCATTCAAATCTCTTTTCTCACTCTGACTTCCCCTCATGTGACCAAATCTTACTTTATCAAAGTTGACTTTGAAGATTCATCACCGTTACAGCATATTCTTGTCCTCCTCTCAGTCAAAAGTCAGTGTTATGTGCCTGTCTTCTGAACTCATACGGTACACCTCTGTCAAGCCAGTTATCACAGGGATTTAGAATTGATTTGTCACTTTTCTGCTCCAATTTTTAATTTGCTAGTATTATGAGGAGTTTATATTAAGTAATATTTGATGACTACCTGGTAATTAAAACATAGCACAATTTCCTTTTTCCACCTTCCATTCATCCATTTAGAAAAAGTGACTATTTCCCATATAACATTGGTAATTTGGGGCTTTATCATTATTAGAGAAACAGTTTTACTCCAGTCACAAAAGAAGAAAGTATTGTTTATATCCTTATCATTTGGACTTTTACATAGTCGTTGTCTTTTAATATCTTTTTTGCTTGTCTTTAGCTGTGACCTCTGGGACATTTTGAGTTTACATTCTCATGAGCTCAGATGTGACAAAACTAATTTGTAAGGTGCAATCACCTCACAGCTATGGCAGCCAACTGACCTGGGAGTTCCATCAGGCAGACACCACACATGTTCCCATATCTAACTCCCTGATTGTTGTGGAACCATTGGGTCATTGCTCAGGTAGATGCTAGGTCATCCTCCATATGAGGACTCTAGGTCCTCTGCACCTTGCTCTTCTCTGTCCATTGTAGTAACAGCTTCCTTGACATTAGCTCCTTTTAGCCCCACTGTGAAAAGAAATTCCATAATCCCATGGCAGAAACCATGCTCTGCTCCTCCCTCCTCTATAGGCTCTTGATGCATCTCAAAATTGGTTGAATCTTGAATGGGATGAGAAATGATTTGAGACCCCACTCCCATGTTTGGATCACAGCTTGAGTCATAAACAGGGGTAGACATTATCAAGTAATATCTACCACTGGTATAGTGACTACCTCTGATCTTGCATTTCATCAGAGCCTGATGTAGGCCATAGTCTCTGCAGCCACATGCTAACTGCCTATGACCTCAGGGCAATTTTCAATATCTGTACCATTAGCTGGATTACACTTCTGGTTCATCTTCAGCCTCATTCTTCACCAGGGCCCCTTCATGTATGATGAATATGACAAAGTAGACATTTTTCATATGTCTAAATTTATCTCCACACAGCCTTTATAGCTTTTACCTCCCTTGTGTAGAGCAAATGGAAAATTTATTGATTGTCTCATGCTGGAGATCTTACTTTTACCATCAAACATTGGTGACTATCAAGACATTACTATCTACTGAGATCTTCCCTTTTTTTATTTACTGCCTCATAGCCCCATTTTCCAGGAGCTCATGACAGAACACCTGATCCTGGACTGTGGCCACAGAGCTAAATTGAATCCAGGTAGGAATATAAGCATCATTGTGCAACCACTCTGTGTCACGCTGTCTGACTGATCATTAGTAGTGGTTTGCAATCTGGATGGTCATTTCCATCCATGTGACCTAATAAGAAACATACGGCCATGTTCCCTTAGTGTAGCCGGTGGATACAAGAGAGGAGGCACAGCAGGCCAGCATGGCTGCCTCAGATAAGTTCTCAGGATGGACTTTACAGTGGTGCAGGATATATTTTATCCCTGTCATCTCAGGCTATAAGAAGCCAGACCAGGTAGATATGTGTGAAACTATCATAGGTTAAGCAAGCCTAGGACTACAAAGGACTGATTACCTTGTGACAGCCCATGAGTATAGCTTCCAGGGGCCTAAAATAGACATATTTGATTATAAGCGTCACATTTTCCTTGAGAAAAATGAGGTGTGTGCTTACTGACTGGCTTTTAAAGTCTATATAAAGTCTTCTCAATACAAATATACTTTATACATCAGACCATTTTTACTATCAAGACGCTGAACTTCCACTTTATTGTAATTCAGTAGGTTTCTCAGAGAAGAAAAAAAAAAAAAACCTTACTAGGAGAAAGCCAATATCCTCTTAACAGGAAGAAAGAGCTCAGGCATGAAGGTAACCCATTGTTCCCACATACCCAATCTAAGCCTCAGTCTTATTGTTCTACCTCATCTTGTCTCTCACCATTTCCTTTATAACCTTGACCCTCAAGCTATCCTCATCTCTCCCCTGAGCAACTGTACATGCATTCCTAACTGATCTTCCCAATTCCTCTCTGGATCCATCTAACATTTCACAGCCCATGGGCAGAGTTAAATATGCTAACATAATTCATAATTAGTTGAATAATCTTGACAAATATATTGAGACTTCTTTCTGAAGATTCAAATTCATTTTATCTGTGTTTTTATTTGTCCAGGTCTGACACGTGTGATCTTATGAGAATATCCATAGTATCTCCCTCTCTACCATCCACATACATACACACATTTAGGCTCCTGTCAATGTCCTTGGCATATTTCCAGGTCAAGTTGAAATCTCACCATTTACAAACACAAGGCTCCCCAGAAACTCCCTGCTGTTATGGATCTCTTCACAACCACAGGCCTGATTGCTCTGGGTATTGATTGTGTCCATGAAGTTTCCTCTGTTTTTCTTTGAATAACTCTGGTGTAGGAGGAGACAGATCTCTGAAGTAGGACCCCAAACACTAGGTTAATTCCAGTTGTGTTATTGAAGATAAATAATCTTTGTAAGTCACTTATTATCTCTATTTACACATCTGATAAAGGGTTTTCTCTTATCACATACACACACATTGTCATATATTATGTCATGATAATAAGAGAAATCATCGCAAATGTATAGAAAGTGATGGCAATGGATACATCATAAATAAGTTAGTCACAGCAGACTTTTCTCATATGAGAACATGTCTAGAGAGAGTTCATTTAAGTGTAAGAGTGAGTCAAAGTGATATCAGGGGCAGCATTCCATGCTGAGTGAAGAGCAGGTATAATAGCCCAGAGGCGTGAGTGCTTTGGTGCTTTTAACATTGAGGATATGTTTTCGGCATGGGAAACAACATGCAAGAGATGCTGGGTCACATGAGGATCCTGCTAGAAATGGACTAAGGTCATCTTTCACTCAGTGAAAGTAAAGGAAAATATCAATCATTGCACAAGTATGAATGGGATTTGTCGTGTGACATGAACTGGGAGTAAGTATATGAAATTATTATGAAAAGTCCTTTTTACCAGGTCACCAAGCTCCTGTCCTTGTTTCTCTACCATTTCTTTTTTGTTCCTCGATATTTTGGTCTTGTCTGATCCTTGATGTCTACACAATTAGTATCCTTTGGTCCTTCCTTTCTTATTCTGCCCCCTTTTACCTTTCCAATCATGTAGGGATCTGTGAGCAAGAGGAGCCTCAGAAGTCAGGACAGGTAGGACACGGGAGCAGCCGTGATGGCTTCAGGAATCCTGGTGAACATAAAGGAGGAGGTGACCTGCCCCATCTGCCTGGAGCTCCTGACAGAACCCCTGAGCCTAGACTGTGGCCACAGCTTCTGCCAAGCCTGCATCACCACAAACAACAAAGAGTCCAAGATCGGCCAAGAAGGAGAGAACAGCTGCCCTGTGTGCAGAGCCAGTTACCAGCCTGACAACCTGCGGCATAATCGGCACGTGGCCAGCATAGTGGAGAGGCTCAGGGAGGTCAAATTGAGCCCAGAGAAGGAGCAGAAGAGAAATCTTTGTGTGCGCCATGAAGAGAAACTCCTGCTTTTCTGTAAGGAGGATGGGAAGATCATTTGCTGGCTTTGCGAGCGGTCTCAGGAGCACCGTGGTCACCACACATTCCTCATGGAGGAGGTTGCCCAGGAATATCAGGTAAGAGACCAGGATAGAACAAAGACAATGCAGAAAATGGTACTTGATGGGTATTCTCCACTTTGCTTTGGACTTTACTTGCCTTGTCACCATAGCCCTGAGGTCTGTGCTCTCTTTTCTTCCTGCACTCACCTTCCTCGGCCTGAAACCCATTTCTGTGCATTCCATCCAATTACAAAAGGATAAGGCTACAATACAGACTCTCAGCCAGAAATATGTAGTTTTGTACCTTGTGCTATTAGGTGAAGATGTGGTGCCCAAGAAAAGCTCTCATTACCCCTTTGAACAGGAGGAGTAACTGGGGAGCTGGATGGCTTGAGACATAAGTACTTTCCTTCCCTCAGGATCAGGTTTCTTCTAGAAGAAAGAGAACCAGTCTTCTCTTGGTGAGAGGATGCTGACTTCTATCACCTGAGTCTTAAAGAACACATTCACCACCTCATGTTTTCTTGGAAGTCATAGATCCTAATTACTGTTCTCACGTTTTCTGTAAACTCAAGTCTCTCTGGAGAAGATCCTGATTTCTTCCCTATTTATCTTGTATTTTGATGCTGAGAAAGCCTAGTGCCTAACTTTCGTTTGATTCTTTTCTCACAGGAGAAGCTTCAGGCAGCTCTGGAGAGGCTGAGGGAGGAGCAGAAGGAAGCTGAGAAGTTGGAAGCTGATATCAGAGAAAAGAGAGTTTCCTGGAAGGTAGGAGGAGACACTTCCTGAGGGAGTGAAATCTGGGCAGTTCTTGGGTATTAGTCACAAAGAGCTCCCTTCCTCTTTGTTCCCTGACCGCCGATATGTCCAAAAGTCCTTTGATTAGCCCTCTTCTTATCCTTACCTTGCTATGGGTGGTGGATGAAAAGTGAACATGTAACAAATGGACATGGATACTAGGAGGGAGGTATTCAAATAGATGGACTATCTGATGAGGATGGCTAGTGAATTCTGCGTTCCTGTCCTGTGATGTTTTTGAGCCTTTGACTTTCCCCAGGGAAGGCATTTGGCAATGGCTCATGGTTCTATCCTCAGTGTTCAACTTTGGACAGAGGGTTCGGCTAGGGGTCGGGAGTAAGGCATGAACTCTTGACTGTCCTGGGCAGCCTTGTGAAAGCTGAGCCACACCCAGTTATCCACTTTCGCTTAGAGGTGGTCTCAATAATGCAGATTTGTGAGCGTTATTTTGGAATACGATGAAGACAAAATATTAGGAAAAGTCAGGTTCCCCAGAATTTCTCCCATGCTTCTAATTCACTTCCCTTGAAAACGTCACAAAGAAAATCTTTCTTTTGCTGGCTCCCGGTCTCTGCCTGAGAGCCTGAGTACCTCTCTCTCTTTCTCATCCCTGAAGAATCAAATACAAAATGAGGTACAAAGTGTCCAGGCAGAGTTTAAACAAATGAGAGGTATCCTGGACTCTGAGGAGCAGAAGGAGCTACAGAAGCTGGGGCAGGAGGCGACAGATATTCTACATAACCTGGCCAAGTCTGAGAATGAGCTGGTCCAGCAGAGCCAGTTGGTGAGAGATCTCATCTCAGACGTGGAACATCGGTTGCAGGGGTCAACAATGGAGATGCTGCAGGTAAGACTTGGGAAGAAGCCTCAGCTTCTGAGATCTGAGAAAAATGAAGACTAATTTCCTCTTGTCATATTGCTGTGCTCTTTCTCATGGTGACGCTAAGGTTCCTTTGGCCCTGTAGTACCCCTTTGCTGCATTTATTTCAGAGGTTATAGGAATAATTAAATGCATAAACAACAAGAGAAAATCTCATTTTTATTAATTTATCAAGTACAGTGCAAAAATTTGACTGTGGAGAGAAGATCCGTTTTGTCCAGTGATATTCTATAGACCTGTATTATCTGGGGTCCACGTTAAACATTTATCAGGTACTTCGTCATCATCCAGCTTAGTCACAGAGAAACAAATGCTCTTCAGATTCCAAGAATTTTTTTCTGTTTTTTTTTTTCCCTCATAGAATGAGTTGAGGTTTTCACGCTCTTTCTTTATTTTTTGCAAAAAGTTTGTGCAGAACTCACCTTATTTATCTTTAAATATTCAATAGAATTCATCAGGGAAGTTATGTCTCTCTGGGATTTTCTTTTTGGAAAGCTTTACAATAATTTTTTTCCTTATACTAGGTTTATTTATATTTCTTACAGTTCTTGAGAGTCAGTTTTTGGTAATGTATGAATTTCTAAGAATTTGTCCATTCTATTTAAGTTGTCTGATTTGTATTCATAAAGTTAACCATAATAATCACTTATAAAACTTTGGATTTCAATGGCACTCACAATAATGTTCCTTCTTTTATTCCTAATTTTGGTGATTCTCTTTTTCACTTTTTTTTGTCGTCAGTTAGTAATATTAGGTCAATTTTGTTGATCTTTTTTCAAGAACAAATTTAATTATTTCATTGATTTTTATCTATTATGTAACCTTTCTATATCATTTATTTCTTCTCTCACCTTTAATGTTTTCATTGTCTGTTTGTGTGTGTATATGCAGGTGTGTACATGTGTGTATGTGTTGGGTTTAGTTTGCTTTTCCTTCTCTAGTTTTTTTAAAGTGGAAACTTAGATCATTGATTTGAGACTGTCTTTTCTGATAGAGTGTTTAATGATAAATGCATTGCTTTAGCTGTATTCCACACATTTTGATTATTTAGTTTTTATTTTCACTCAGTTCAATTTATTTTCAAATTTCCTCTGTGATTTTTTGTTAACCCTTGGGACACTTGCAAGTGCGTTATTTAGTTAAAAAATATTTAGCTATTCCTTAATTTTTCTTCTGCTATGGATTTCCAATTTTATTCCTCTGTAGTAAGAGAACATATATTTCAGTATTTCAATCTTTTAAATGTATTGACTCTTTTTTATGACCTAAAATATTAAATGTAGAAATTTCTCTATGCAAATTTGAGAGAATGTGTATTCTACATTAATTGGGTGAAATGGTCCTAAGATGTTAGTTAAGGTAAGTTGGTTAATAGTATAGTTCATGTCGTCTAATCCTTGATTGTTTTCATACAAGCAATTCTCTCAATTACTGGGAGGGAGAGGTATTGAAATATCCAAATATTATTATTGAATTTTGCTTTTATCTTTTCAGTCTCACTTTGTGTATTTTGAAGCTCTGTTGTTAGGTGTATGTACATTTATAATTGTTATATCTTGAAATACTGAACCTTTTATCATTGTGAAATTGTACTCTCATCTCTCATAATATTTATTTTCTTAAAGTCTATTTTGTCTAATATTAATATAGATGAGAAATTTTATGATTACTATTTGTATGGTGTATATTTTGCTCTATTTTCAACTTTTCCCTTATTTCTGTCTTTGAATCCAAAATATATCTCTTGTAGATAACAGTAATTGAATCTTACTTTTTATCCAGTCCAACAATCTTTGCCTTTTAGTTGGAGTATTCAGACAATGACATTTAATACAATTATTGATATCACTGTATTTAAATTTTCCAGTTTACTATTTGCTTTCTTTACATTTCTTGTAGATTTTATTCTTCTCTTTCTCTTAACTAGCTTCTTTTGTGTTAAACAAATGTTTTTAGTACGAAATTTTGTTTTCCTCTTTTCTGACTGTATTTTTTTTAAGTTTTTGCCTAGTGTTTGCTCTAGTGCTTAGAATATGCATTTTATCCTATCAGGATCTACTTCAGATTAAAATGAACTTCATTCCAGTAAAATACAGAAATTTGCTACCAACATTAATTCATTTCCTTTCAGCAACAACACAGTAATTCTTTTAATATGAGCACCTGATCCAATGCAGAAAATGCTATGCATATCTCAGAATTTTTTGTGATAACTGGGAAGAGAAGTTATCTTTTCTTCTGGAGTTTATATCAGAGATTCATGTTTCCTTCATGAACTGAAAATAAAGTCAATATAGAGAGAATAAAGAGAATTTGGAGAAAGACATAGACCAGAACCTGATGACAAGATTTGAACTTCAAAATTAAGCTTTGACTAAAGCTATAACAGCCCCCCAAAATCCTTTTCTATACTTAGTTTAGTTTTATTTGGTTTTTGTCATATTACAATAAAAAAGCCCTAACACAGGGCAAAAGCATTTTTACGGTGTGTGTAGACCCAGCTGTTGGCCTAGTTGGTGACATGGAGGAAGTAAGCTTGAGGTAAAAATGACCAAATATATTGGTACATATCTGTTGAAACAAATAAAACAATATCTGTGTGGCTGGCCCTGTGGCCTAGTGGTTAAGTTGGATGCACTCTGCTTTGGTGGCCCGGGTTTGTAGGTTTGGATCCCGTGTGTGGACCTACACCACTTCTCAGCCATGCTGTGGCAGTGACTGAAAAAAACACTATATCTGTGATGATAAAGAAGATCTGATGGGTAAAACTGCTAAGGATGTGGACTAAACTGGCTTCTTAGAGACTGATGTGCACAGTAAATATTGTAGTTTTTAGGACAGTGACCAAGTAGGTATTGGTAACATTATGGACAATGGGGTATAAGAGAGGAGATAATTTGGCTGGTGAATAGAAAGTTAACTATTAGATAGCCTAAGTTACTGGTTCCTGTGGCCTTTTTACTACTGCATTTAAGAGGCAAAATTGAGTAAAAATAAAGATTTGGAAACTAACTGAACATATTTGTGTGTTGAATTAAAGGGAATAGATATCTGTCATTTTTAGATAGTACATAAAATGAAAAGAAAAAGACTTGAGAACTGCCCACATTGATACATTTGTTTGCTTATTCCCTCAGCAAAAACCGTGCAAACATCTTGAGGAATATTATGATTATTTACTCATCTTTGACTCTTCAAAGCCCTCCATAATGCTTGGGAAATAATAGTATATCACTTTATATTTCCATCAAATAAATGAAAGAACCATGAGTTATTCAAATCATCTCATGAGGAGCCTTATGCATTTGGGGAAAATATTATGGTCCTCTTGTTTTCCTCAGTCTCATCTCCAGATACTGGAAAACACATGTGGTGCTTCCACCACAGGGCCAAACAGGGCCAAAGCTGTTTCTACCTGTTAGGAAAACTGACAACATCACATGAGTTTCGGGAAGGAATGCCCTGAGTCTTTTCTTAAGACCTGGGCACTCACATTGGGACCATTTTTATTCCCAAATCAGGGGGTGGTGGGGATGTGATGAGGTTTTGTAAGTGGGAAGGGTGTATCACTTCTTGACTCGTTTCCTCTTTTCTCCCTAGGATGTGAATTGCGTCATGGAAAGGTAAGTGAGGGAAACCAGAGACAGTCCTTTCGTGCTATGAAGACAGGTTTAAAGCCATTAGAGTTATCTGGTAGTCAATTAGGATAAAATATTCCTCAGGGCAAGAAAATTTGGGTGCAGTTTTATCTTAAATTTCTGTTCACAAATCATGGCTTGAGTATTCTCTAACTATTGAAAATGGACCAGATTCTAGGGTAGGGAATTTAGGTGGTGGGAAATTGCCGATTTGGGTCAGTAGCAGTATTAGGGAAAAGGCTGCAATTATCAGCCCCTGTGACTTGCTAAATTTTATTTTCCCTGTGTGCCTGTATCTAACTCAGGTTCCCATATTTCACAGGCAATTAACCTCTCCTGAGAAGGTCCTGTTTTCTTTATCTTCCAAGCACCTAGAATGGGAGACATCTCTTTTGTATTTAAATTTCTGCCCTGGAAATTGAAGAGACCACGTCTTTCTGTATGGTTCTGTTTAGATTTCAAAAAATAGACTTGAATGTCATGGAATATTTTAGCCCTGGTGCAAACGACTGATCCATCTTGGTCTCGTACTTGAGAATCCAGAATGGAAAGGCGACATCCTTATGTCTAAATTTGCACACCTACATGGCAGCATCAAGCTCTTTCAAAACACATGAAATTCAGACCACTATTAGTTTGGTGCTCATAATGTTTTGTTTTCCAAGTGTTTGTAATTGTTCCCTGAGAACCTGAAATCTCAGATTTATTCTGAGGGCCTGCTTGCTGACGAGCACACTTGAAGATCTTTGTCTCTAGACAGTATTCTCACACTTGATATGTCTGAAACACCCAGGAAACCAATTCTGCAACCTCATTTTCTGGTCATCTCCGTGGGAACTCACATCCATGCAGTTGCTTTTCCACATATTAATCTTTTTTAAGTAACAGTATCTTGTTTTGTCTGTTAAATCTACTATTTCATATTTTTTCATATTATTTCTAGGAGGTAGAGAGGGACCGGTTATTGATATCCTTTTAAAAGCAAAAATCTGTACCTGAGAGGTCAAGATCTTCCCAAGGTCACACAGAAGGTGTGAATGGGAAGGTGGACAGGAACACATTTCTTCTGTCTCCCAGATCAGCAGTGTACTATCTCCTTTCTCAGAGCCTCCAAGGAAGAGGTTTCAAGTGAATCAATGGGTGAAATGATAGGAAGTCAGTGGCTTTGGAGGGACAAAAAGTCAGAAGTGTGTGGATCAATGTTTGTCATCCTTAGGAGTGAGACCTTTACTCTGAAGAAGCCAAAAACTCATTCCATGAAACAAAGGAGAGTGTTCCAAGCTCCTGATCTGAGAGGCATCTTGCGAGTGTTTAATGGTGAGGAATGCTAGAGCAAGTGGGTGGCTGTGGGAATCTTGTCATAGCAGGGGCTGAATGGGGAAGAGGGTACAATTTCTAAGTGTGCATGGAGGAGACAAAGAAGGATGGATATCATGTGCTGATTATATGGTCATATTTATTATTTGGTTCTGGTTCATCATCTCATTCACCAGTTCACTATCTCACTGTAGTCTCCAATCCTCCCCCTAATGCAGAGAGGAAATAGTTTTCAGTACTGACTCCTTTCATACAATGGATTTTTGTCATTTCAGAGCTCACAGATGTGCAACGCTACTGGGGTAAGTAGAAATCACAGTATCATCATGTTACCCTGTTCTTATCTTTCAGAATTGTGAATTTCTAGTAGGCTACATGTTTAAGAACCATGTTTCCTGTCTAACACACATATACATATTATGTTTCTGCAGTATTATATCTCCCCAAGAACAGAACAAAGTTCTTCCTAATTCCCATTCAGGTTATTCTCAAGATCCCTCTCACAATGTCATACATTTATGATGTATAATAAAGCTGCATCATCTCTCTCACCCAACCCTGTAATTTTTTTACAGTTCACGTGACACTGGATCCTCTCAACTCTAAATCAAATGTTTCCATTTCTGCGGATCGGAGACAAATGAGATATGTGATCGATTTGAGACCAAGGAGAAATACATATCGGAATGACGATTATGATGATTGTAGTGTCCTGGGCTCCCCAGTTATCAGATCAGGGAAACATTACTGGGAGGTAGATGTGTCAGAGAAACGTGCCTGGATCCTGGGGGTATATGGTGGAAAGTGCCCTGAAGTCAACATGAAGGTTTTATTTAGACAAGGTGAAAATTATCCACATGTTTACTCTAGATATCAACCTAGAAATGGCTACTGGGTTATAGGGTTACGGAATCACTTCGAATATAATGCTTTTGAGAAGTCTTCCTCCTCAGATCCCTTGATCTTAACCCTCTCTCTGACTGTTCCTCCCCGTCGTGTGGGGGTTTTCCTAGACTACGAGGCTCGCACTGTCTCATTTTTCAATGTTACAAACCATGGGTTTCTCATCTATAAATTCTCTTCGTGTTACTTTTCTCAGGAAATTTTTCCATATTTCAGTCTTATGACATGTCCTGCCCCCATGACATTGTGCTCGCCAAGCTCTTGAACCTTCTTACATCCTCACTCACTTTGTAGTACCTCTTGCCTTGGGTGCATCTAAAGCACTCAGGTTATTTGCACCATTCTTATGATGTTTTTCTCACTCCCTCCTTTTTTTCCACTTGAATGTCCTTCATTCACTAATTGGTTGTACAATTTGCCTTGTGTCATATTTTTCCCAATATCATTAGGAGAGAATCTTAATTCATCATTTTCCATAGTCCCAAGGAAAAATGACTGATGACTCATGAGGAAAGATCAGTATTGAAGTAACACCTCTGCCAAATTTTTACAATCTCATTTCCTCTGCCATTGACTGAGAAGATGAAGGAAAGATTTTCAAGAGTTTTTGCATATTATCAAAGTACTTGTATAGGAGTTATCCATGAAAGAAGGAGTCCTTATTGGTGTGTCAGTTTACTCATGGTACCCCTTATTCATGAAGGAGTAAAGGAGAAAATATCATAAATACTATGTACTAAGAGTAGATATTTTGTGACCAGAGTGTCTGAGTTTAGGTTCTGTCTCTCTATATCTCAGCGGTGTAAACTTGAATGACATACTTAACTGCTGTGTTTATTTTCTTAGAATAATATTGGTATAAGAATTACACCATACTTAGGATCATTGTGAGTAGATAAATGCCATTAAGTATACAGCATGTAAGTCTCAACTTAATAATATATATATGCTCTACTAATTACTGAAAAACATAAGCCGTGTCAGTGTCTCATGAAACAAGTTTGTGTCTTCAGGGGCACTAGTGTTGTTTTCACTGAAGTCTCATTTTTCAGATCCCAGATACCACTGTACTGTTGTCAAGACTACTCCTGCTCTGCCTGTAATACATAAGCATGTGTGTGTGTGTGGGTGTGTGTATAACAGTTAGAATTTTATTGTAATTCTTGTATTGATGCATACTGGCCCTTATCAAGTAAAGTATAATCCATAGGATTCAGTTTCTCATTTGTAAAATAATATATGAAATTTACCAGATATAATATTGTGAAAATTTTAAAAAAAAAGAATGCTTTCAATAACTCCTGTCATTTCCAGCACTTAAGCAGTATCCAATATGGTGTCTATCATTTTTTGCCTCCTTCTCACTGTGACTGAAATGAATGACTTTAAGAATATATGTTAGTTTACTTTCAACATTATTAACCTTGCTTTTTTTTTTTTAAGAAATACAATAGCAAAAAATTTCAATTCTTTTAAATTTAACTTATTGTAAATAAATGTTTCTGTCTAGCCACCCAGTCTTATTTTATTATTTTTTTAAATTTTCTGCAGTAATTCTATGTCACTGAAATTGAATTTCAATTTGGGCTCTCTTTACTCAACATTAAAAAGTTATTATTCACAGTGATACAGTAAGAGCCAGAAGTACAATTGTGGGTTTTTTCTTAACAACAGTGTAGGTGTTTTGTTTGTCCTGGTCAGCTTTACTTTTGCAGTGACGTGAAAGTTCTCACGGACAAAGAGGAAAGACTTTTCTCCTCCCTCAGTGAGATAGAAGGGGATTATTTCTACAATGGGTGTTCATTCAGAACTTGGTGGGATTCCTTATGTCTTTTGGTATTTTTATTCAAAACGCTTTCCTCAATCAACTTCAGAGTTAAAAAAAAAAAAAAGTAGGCTGTTTGGTCAAGTAGTATCTGCTCTCATCTCTGCTTGTCCACAGGAATTCCCAACTTCTTCATCTTTGGATAAACTTTTATGAGATGAGAGATTCCAAGGTGAATATTTCCAGTATATGTGTGTGTATGTCTGTGTCTGTATGTACACATCCATATCTTACTGCTCATCAATGGAATCTTGAGGAAATTGATCTTCTAAATTTTCCCTTGACCTCTGCCTTTCTGTCAACCCTTTGTTACAATGACTGAGGCTCTCACTCACTAGCTAAAATCTGGACTGTTTAATTATTGACAAATGACTCTACAGGGACATTCATGTCTTTTCATTTACTGGAATGCCCAGTCCTCCAGTTCAGGATGAAGTACCTAGTTACAAGGAAATAAAGACCTGAATGTTTACATATAACCGAAAAAATCTGCACACTGACTGACTCTCCTTTTTAACAAAGACTTGTGGTCCCACAATGAAGCCCATGCCCAGTCCTTCATAAATACTAACAGATCTCTGTATACAACAAACTCATTCATGCTTCTCTTGGGCTATGTCTGACACCTAGATGAAAAGCTCAATGGAGGATGCACAATCAAAGGAACGCTTGTATCCTAGAGAAGGCTTTGTAAAATTGGCAACATTTAAAAAAAAATTGAGATAATTGTAGATTCACACACAGATGGAAGAAATAATAAAAATATAAGCCTTGTACAATTTTGCTCATTTTTTAAGTCCTTGATACCTCTGTCAAGATTACTCCAGTTCTGCTTTTGGTGTACACACACGCACACACACACACATATCTCACAGCCGTATACCTTTTTTTTTTTTTTTTTTTTTTGCGAGGAAGATCAGCCCTGAGCTAACATCTGATGTGAATCCTACTCTTTTTGGCTAAGGAAGATTGGCCCTGGGCTAACATCCATGCCCATCTTCCTCTACTTTATATAGAACTCCGCCACAGCATGGCTTGACAAGTGGTGCATCGGTGCCCTCCCGGGATCCAAACCTGCAAACCCTGGGCCACCGAAGCAGAACGCGTGCACTTAACTGCTGCACCACCGGGCCAGCTCCTCACAGCCTTATTTTTGTTTTTAATTTTTTGACAGCTTTTAGATAACATTGACATATACAAATTGTAAATATTTGAAGTGTACAACTTGATGTTTAAATATATAGATACACTGTAAAATGATCACCACAATTAAGCTAATTAACAAATCCATCACCTCTACATAGTTAACATTTTGTGACTGTGCTTGTGTGTGTGTGTGTGTGTGTGTGTGTGTGTGTGGTGAGAAGATTTAATTTAAGATATATATCCTCGTAGCAAATTTCAGGTATATGATACAATATTTTCAATTATAGTCACAATGTGTTTTTATCTGTTTGGACTGCTGTAACATACTACCACAGAATGAGTGGTTTATAAACAAGAGAAATTTATTTCTCACAGTTCTGGAGGCTGGGAAGTCCAAGATCATGTTGCCATTCTGGTGAAGGCCATCTTCCGTGTTGTAGACTTCCAACTTCTCACTGTGGCCTTATACACTTCTCTGCCTTCATGACTTAATCACCTCCCAAAGACCCCACCTCCTAAAACCATCACACTTGGCATTAGGATTTCAACATATGAATTTGGAGGGAGGACCAAAACATTCAGACGATTGCACCATATTGTACATTAGACCTCCATAACTTATTCATTTTGCATAACTGAGAAGTTGTACCCTTTGACTAACATCTCTTTATTCCTCCTCTCCCCAACCCCTGGCAACCACCATCCTACTCTCTACTTCTATGAGTTTGACTCTTGTAGATTCTACATATAAGTGAGATCATGCAATATTTTTCTTTCTATATCACAGAAAGACTTTTATTACAGTTCCAGTGTTGCCACATACAGGCCTTATCAGCTAATCTAAATTCTATGAGATATACTTCCTCATTTACAAAAAACACATAATGAAAATCACCTGACGAGCTATTGTGAAAATTAAACAGTAGAATAGTTTTAATTACTGCTGCTGTTTCCTAACACATGAGCAGTGATCCAGAATGCTGTCTGTTAATTGTTTTTCTTATTCCCTTTACCTATGACTTGAAATAAATTATTTTAAAAATATATATTAGATTGCTTTCAAAATTATTACTTTTAATTGGTTTTAAGTAATAGAATAACTTGTTAGAAATCAAAGTTAATTTAGAAAATTTTGTCTAACTGTAAAATAAATATTTTAGCAGAGTGAAACATTTTTTTATCATCTTCATAGCTGCCTCATCTTATATTATAATTATAATAATTTATTTCACTGAATATACTAATTAAAAGTTGATTTAATATTCTTTTCTATTTTTGCAGTAATTCTGTTTCATTAGAATTCCTTTTCTCTGTTTGCCTGGCTTCAAAAAATTATTATTCATGGAAATACAGGAAGAGTCAAGCGTACTTTGTGGGATTTCTCAATAATGTTGTAGGCCACACTTTCGTTTCTCGTGTCAGCCACACTCTTTCCAGTGAGCTGACAGAGTAGGGCAGTCCTCAAGAATTACAAAAACCCTTTCTCCTCCCTCAGTGAGAAAGGAGGGGAATTGTTTCTGCAGTGTTCATTCATACAGGGCTTAGTGGGATCCTCATATCCAGCCTTTTAGAAATACAAACAAATCACTCTTCATGAGTAAATACTATAAGATGATTTAAAAGTTTTTAGGGTCCATGTGTATTTTATGTCATAACAAGCTGTCAGATTTCTTTCAAAGTGGTTGTCCCATTTTTCATTCTCAGAGTTCAGAAAGAAGACAATAGTATGGAGTATGGTGGTTAATGCAGAGCTATACAGTAGACATGACATTTGGTGTAGTCTATTTTTGATCTGTAAATCTTGTTGACAACTGGGGGGAGTGGAGGGCTCAGTGTGTCTGAGTGTGTTTATGTGGCAAGCACAGCACAGGGTAGGGGAATTGATTGTGAGGACCAAAGGACATGAGCTCTGTTGTACAAGGCCCTCCCTTTCCTCTAAACTTCTTCCTTATCATGCCTCCCACAAATCCCATATGCATCGTTTTACAGGCATACCTCAGAGATATTGTAAGTTTGGTCCCAAACTAATGTGATAAAGCAGATATCACAAAAAAGCAAGTCACACAAATTTTTTGGTTCCCCAGTGCTTATAAAAATTATCTTCACACTATGTGTTCTATGAAGTGTGCAATAGTACCATGTCTAAAAAACCAATGTACATACCTTAATTAAAAAAAATACTTTATTGATAAAAAATGCTAACCATCACCTGAGCCTTCAGTAAGTTGTAATCTTTTTTCTGGTGGAGGGTCTTTTCTTGGTGTTGATGGCTGCTGACTGATCATGGTGGTGGTTGCTGAAGGTTGAGGTGGCTGAGGCAATTTCTTGAAATGAGACAACAATGGGCACTGGCCCGGTGGCACAGTGGTTAAGTGTGTGCACTCCACTGTGGCGGCTGGGGGTTAGCAGGTTCGGATCCCGGGCACACACTGATGCACTGCGTGTCAAGCCATGCAGAGGCAGTGTCCCATATAAAGTAGTGGAAGATGGGCATTGATGTCAGCCTAGGGCCAATCATCCTCAGCAAAAAGAGGAGGATTGGCATCAGATGTGAGCTCAAGGATAGTCTTCCCTACCAAAAAGAAAAAAAAAAAAGTTAAAAAATGAGACAGCAATGAAATTTGCCACATGGATTGACTCTTTCTATCATGATTGATTTCTCTGTAGCATGTGATGCTGTTTGATAGCATTTTACCCACCAGTAGAACTTCGTTCACAATTAGTGTAATCCTCTCAATCGCAGGTGCTGCTTTATCAACTCAGTTTATGTAATATGCAAAATCATTTGTTGTCATTTCAACAATCTTCACAGCATCCTCACCTGGAGTAGAGTCTATCTCAAGAAACCACTTTGTTTGCTCCTCCATAAGAAGCATCTCCTTATCTATTCAAGTTTTATCGTGAGATCACAGTAATTCACTCACATCTGCAGGCTTCACTTATAATTCAAGTTCTCTTGCTATTTCCACCACATCTGCTGTTACTCCCTGCACTGAATTCTTGAACCCCTCAAAGTCATTCATGAGGATTGGAGTCAACTTCTCCCAAAATCCTGTTAATGTTGATATTTTGACCTCTTCTCATGGATTATGAGTGTCTTAATGGCAACTAGAATGGCAAATACTTTTCAGAAGGTTTTCAATTTACTTTGCACAGATCTATCAGACGAATTCTATCTATGGCAGCTACAGCCTTATAATATGTATGTCTTAAATAATATGACTTCAAAAGTTGAAATTACCTCTTGATCCATGGGCTGCAAAATGGACATCATGTTGGCTGGCATGAAAACATTAGTATTGTTGTGCATCTCTCAGAGCTCTTGGGTAACCAGGTGCATTGTCAATGAGGGGTAATATTTTGAAAGGAATCTTTTTTCTGAGGAGTCTTAACAGTGAGCTTAAAATATTCAAGAAACCATGTGGTAAAAAGATGTGCTGTCATCTAGCCTTTGTTGTTCCATTTATAGAGCATAGGCAGAGTATTTTTAGCCTAATTCTTAAGGGCTCTAGGGTTTTCAGAATGGTAACTGAACATCGGCTTCAACTTAAAGTCACCAGCTGCATTAGCCCGTAACAAGAGAGTCAGCCTGTCCTTTGAAGCTTTGAAGCCAGACATTGTCTTCTCCTCTCTAGCTATGGAAGTCCTAGATGGGATTTCTTCCAAAACAAGGCTATTTTGTGTTATGGAGATGACTTCTTTCCTTGAACTTCATGAATCAACGTCTACTATCTTCAAACTTTCCTTCTGCAGCTTCCTCACCTTCTCAGCCTTCATAGAACTGAAGAGAGTTAGGACCTTGCTCTGGATTAGGTTTTGGCTAAAGGGAATGTTGTAGCCTTCTATCCAGACCACTAAAACTTTCTCCATATCAACAATAAATCTGTTTCCCTTTCATATAGTTCATATGTTCACAGACTAGCACTTTTAATCTCCTTCAAAAACTTTTCCTTTGCATTCACCCTGGCTAACTGTTTGGTGCAATAGTCCTAGCTTTCAGTCTGTCTTAGCTTCTCACATGCCTTCCTCACTAGGCTTAATTATTTCTCACATTTGATGTAAAGTGAGACACGTGTGACTATTACTTTCACTTGTACACTTAGAGGCAATTTTAGGGTTATTAATTGGCCTAATTCCAATATTGTTGTGTCTCAAGTAATAGGGATGCCTGAGGAGAGGGAGAGAGTCAGACAATGGCCAGTCAGTGCAGCAGTAAGAACACACACAACATTTATTGTTTAATTTCGTCGTCTAATATGGGCTCAGTTCGTGGGACCCTAAAACAACTATGACAGTTATATCAAAGACCACAGATCGTAGATCACCATAACCAATATAATAATAATGAAAACCTTTGAAATATTGTGAGAATTACCAAAATGTGACAGAGAGACACAAAGTGGGTAAATGCTATTGAAAAAATGGTGCCAATAAACTTGCTTGATGCAGGATTGCCTCAAATCTTCAATTTGTAAATTAAAACAATATCTGTGAAGCATAATAAAGAAAGGCATGCCTGTAGTCTTTTCTCCCTTTGAATCTCTAATCTGGCCTCATGTCCTGAGCCCCAGACAACTAACGGGTTCCCTCCAGACTCTTTGAGATATTTGTATGAGGTGCAAGTGCTTCTGGAATGTGAAGAAAGAAATCTGTTTGGCAGTAGAGGGTGTAAAAGCTAGCTGATCTGGATCCCTTTTGTTTGGCCCCAAAGAACTCCTTCTTCAAGAGCTCGATGGGCTGGCCCCGTGGCTTAGCAGTTAAGCGCACGCAATCCGCTACTGGCGGCCCGGGTTCGGATCCTGGGCGCGCACCGATGCACGACTTCTCTGGCCATGCTTAGGCCGCGTCTCACATACAGCAACTAGAAGGATGTGCAACTATGACATACAACTATCTACTGGGGCGTTGGGGGAAAAAAAGGAGGAGGATTGGCAATAGATGTTAGCTCAGAGCCAGTCGTCCTCAGCAAAAAAAAAAAAAAAAGAGAGAGGAGGATTAGCATAGATGTTAGCTCAAGGCTGATCTTCCTCACACACACACAAAAAAACCCTCTAACCCCAGTACACACTACTCACTTCTGAGTAGTCTGAGATAGGATAGTTTAGGCTATAAGCCTTGAATCGATCTATAAGTTGAAAATTGTGACTACATAGAAAACCTGATGCTTTTGAGCTTGCCTGGCAAGAGATTATAAAAAATTTATCTGGAAAATGTAGGAGAGAATCAGAGGCCTGAGAGAGGAAGGGAGGGTAGGGAGAGTGTCACTTATGTCCTGGGAACCTTCTCTGAGACATCAGGTTTAAGGTGGAGAGAAACCAAGAAGGAAATCAGAGCTTGTCAGGGTATAAGAAAATGTCTTCCAAAAGGAAACCAGAAGAAACCATGATCCTTCTCCCAAGACCCAAAGTCTATCTGCAGAGCTGAAAACATTGCTATGGTCCACATTGTAGCTTGTTATGTTCCCAGGGCCCAAGGAATAATAAATATTCCTTTGGGCTCTGTGTTTCCCTCCAATCCCTACATCTCCTGTTGGAGAGGGGTCTAGTGAAAGATCTCCCACTTCAAGACCATGATTTTTTACTGTTTACAGTCTGAAAAACCACATGGCACAGGAAGTAATGTGGCTAAAATGTGGTGGTGTAGATAGATGAAACAACAGGTGTTGAGTAAGTATCTGACTCAATTTTAGGAACAAAACCCCTAAGAAGATATGAAAAGTTGTTGGTTATAATTTGTCAAGGGAGTTCATATAAATGCTAATACTAATACAAGAATTTCATTATGTATCATGGCGATTATGTTCACTCCAACAACAACAATAAAAGATGACCGTGATTATCCTCAGTACGTTCAATGTAATTAAAATGATATCTACAGCTATGTAAGTGCAAGTTTTTCTATGTAGATATCACTATCTGTATACAACATTTTGTAATAGATCTGAGACAAGAAGGAACAACAGAGACAAGGTCCTTTTCTGCCTTCAGATAACTTACTGTTGTTGGACACAGGGCTAGATGAGGAGGGATACCCAATGACAGTATTATGTGATAACAAAGATGATAAAGGAAAAAATGCAATTTATACAAAATGTGGAGGATTATCACTGTACTTTAAAAGCATCATGACTTTGTTGTTAGAACAAATTTTCTACATACCCAAGAAATGGAAACTGTCAATATGGCTCCACAAATATGTCTATATAATTTTCATTTTGTAGCTCACAGATATATGAGTCAGAAAGAGTTAATAAACCAAGATCAGCTTACTCTTCTGTGGGTTATAAGCAATATGAAAATATCTGTGCTTTAAGTGGAAAAACGTGCCCTACATGTCTCATATCAGTTAACGTGTGAACACTGGTGTGCTCTGCAGTCCTGTCTGTCAGGGACACATATAATGGAGCTTCCACCATCTTGTAACTGCAACATCTGGAACATGTAGTAAGAACAGGAACACAATAGATAATAGAGCATGAGAGCATGTGTAGGAAATTTAAAATGTTTGATTGATGGTGTAGAAAGGAACAAATGTTTCCTGAAGGAAGTTGGGAAAAGTGGACAAATTTTGGAGGTGTGAGTGTTACTCAGTGAAAGATTATACTGGAATAGCACCATCTATTAAGCTCCATATTCTCACCTTCCTCCAAGTTGCTGGGTAACATGGAAATAACATAGTTTACCATTATTAGTCTTGGGAATCCTTCCTCTTCTAGCCTGCCTGGATAAGGAGCAGAAACTGGTAATAAACTGATGGACTTCTAAGATTCAATAATGTTGTGGAAATATTTTCTCAATAGGCTCACACTGAAGAAATTTTTTTTTTAATTTTATTTTTTACCACTCACAATGACAGCCACTAATACTCACTGTGCCAGCTCAAATTTACAAGGCTTTATAACTCATTATTTTTTCTATCACACTCTGCATTATAAGATGTCAGGTGCCGAGCCTTTCTGGATCGTTATTTTATCGCAAGAGACTTCATTAGGATCTGAATATAGGGTAAGCTTAACTAATAATTATAAGATTGAATTGAAATTCTGAGTATTCAGGCAACCTGGGGAATGCATCATTGTAATTCACATTCTTATTATTCAAATATTCTTGCTGAAATAAACTGTGGTAGGATAAGGATGCAGTAATTGGGTGCCTAGCTGGTACAGGCTCTAGAACATACCAAACCACGACCCTCCTCTCGTGTCCTACGTGGTGTCCCACCATTGTTATTGTATTTAAGTTTCTGTTCTGCTTCCTTTCTTTCATTTCTGCTTCTATAGACTTAACTTTCATTTCTCACCCATTTCCTGTAGGTGAACTCCTCTGTAGAGAGCAGGCCTCTGGCTTGGTGCATGAATCTTGACCACACCTGCATCTGATCTCCACTGAGTCAAGACTCCTCCACCTCTCCTGAAGGTGTGTAGGGTAGTTTGTGAGGGCAACGGGCAGGAGTCTTTGGGAGGAACAGGTTAAATGTGTTTGGGCGAGTTTAATTTATGGTTCCAACGTTGCTCTGAAATAAGAAAAAAAGCCAGCTTGTAGGTTTTCTGCTAAGGTGGCAGAAGATGGGACATTGAATCTGAGGGAGGAGTGTCCTTTAAGAAAGAGAGGTTTAAAAAAGTAAAGATCTTTGTTTGTTTCTTCAAGGAATCATTATTTCCCCAGGCTTTTACCATCAGTTTCTTCCTATTTTTTAGTTTTGACTTTCTACTCTGCCAAGGTGAGCCAGAATAGTCTTATTTCAGAGGCAGAAAACTCCTTCCTTCTCTCCTCCAGAGAAGATGTGAGATGGAATCCTGTTTTCTCTCTTCATAAAAGCCCAAACTTCTGGTGAGAGGCAGCAGAGATGAGATCCCTTATCTGGATTCATGATGGAGGGAAAGGGATCTTAAGGGCTCTGCCAGGATAAGAACCTCTTGAAGATCATCTTTTCTACTAGTCCTGGTAAGTTCTAGGAAGCTATTCATAATATTTCTTATAAATTACTAGCCCTTTGGGCAGCCTGATAAGACAAGCTGGACGATCAGATGATTCCCACGTCTGCCGTTACGGTCTGGTCATTTGTCTCTCTGGAGTTCCAGGCACAGGGAATTTGTTTTCTGCTGAATGTCAAGGTTTACTCTTACTTTTAGTAGGGCCCCATCAACTTCTGGTGAGAGGTATTGCTTTAGAGCATGTTCTTCATTATCTTAGGAACACCTGGACAAGGTCCATAGAATGTATATGTTAATTTCCTACTCAGTGGCTAGTACAGGGTCCAATAAACAGGAGGAAATTAGTTTAAAACACTTTTAATATTTTTAATTAAATTCACAAAAACAAAAGCATACTGCTGTGGTAAAAAAAAAAAATTGTGTTAACATCTACTGAACTTACGTTAAATAATAAGTACCTACAAAAGATTATAGCGGTTGGGGGAAAGTAAACAAAGAGTAAAAGAGTAATGTAGTATGCAAAAAGATGAAACTCACTATGGCACAAAAGTACAACAAAGAAACATTAATAATAGTAAACCAAAAGGCCTGTAATGGGGCAAAAGATCTATGTGCCCTGCAAAAGGGCTTTGCAATTTTAAATAGATTTCATGTTATGTCTCAGTGTGGGAAGCGATTTTGACCAGAGACTTCAAGGAAATTATGGGTTTAAGACAGATTTTTGTCCAGAGCTATTAAGGAACATAAAGGCATGCAGGGTGGGTTAGGGAGGAGTAGAAGGTGGGCTGAGAGGGATGAGGCCATAGCAGGGGATGTGTAATGTGTTCCTAACTAGACCATAATAAAGATGGACTCACACTGAATGACATGCATTTGAGCAGATGAGTGACAAGATTGATGTATACTTTTAAAATCTTTCTGGCTTTTGATGTGAACAGTGATGAGAGCAGACTGTGTGAGACCAATGACAGTATCAGGAGATCAATGGGGAAGCTATTCTTGCAATCTGGGTAAAAGACTTTCTTGGATGGACCTAATTTGAAGAGAATGCTATAGGATTTTCTGATGAACTGACTGTGAGAAAAAGGGATGAGACTAGGGGTACTTTTATGAAGATGGCCTCTGTTACCAAATGCCTCCTTTAAACTCACTGACCTAGGAGATAGAGTGTTTGGGGAGAGGGTCATTAATATGGGGTAGTTAGACCCTGAACTCTAAGGGGTGGTTGAAGAGGGAGCTCTGAGCAGAGAGAAATGGGGAGGAGTTGTAATGTTTCTGAGTTTCCTCAGGTCTCTGGACACCAAGAACAGGTCCACCTTCCCATTGGCAGTTCCTGAACCAGGGGACAGGGGAAATTTCGAGGATGTTGTATAAACTTCTTATAGGACTTTTTCTCTGCATTGTGGAGACCCTTTCATTTTCTTGTCTAACCTGTACAGATTCAGAGAGCCTTGTGCAGATCATCAGGATAGAGTGAGATAAGGAAACTTAGGACCCAGTTGGTCCTTACCTTACTGTAAAAACTCCTACATTGTACTTTTTTCAAAGTGGAGCATATATTTTGCCTCTGTGTCTGTCTGTCTTAGATGAGGAGAATTTCAATGGTGTAACGCTTCTTCAATGATAGAATACAGAATGAATGAATAAAAGGAAAAATAAGCACTTGTATTATTTTCTAGGGCTGAAATAAAAAAATGTACCACAAATGGTTGCTTAAATAAAATGTATTTTTTCATGATTCTGGAGATTAGAAATACAAAATCAATGGTGTTGGCAGGGTTGGTTCCTTCTGAGGGTTGTGTGGGAAGGACCTGTTTCATGTCTCTCTGTTAGCTTGTGGTAGTTTGCTAGAAATCTTTGGTGTTCCTTGATTTGTAGATACATCACCCTGATCTCTAGTTGTTCTTTGCAGGGATTCTCCATGTGTGCATGTCTGTCTGTGTCCAAATCTCCCGTCTTTATACAGACACAGTCATGTTGAATTTATGCCCACCCTAATGACTTCATTTTACCTTAATCATCTGCAAAGACACGATTTCCAAACAAAGTTACATACGCACATTTGCAGTTAGGACTTCAACATCTTTTTGGGGAACAGGATTCAATGTGCAATAGCACTCAGTGTGTTTGAAACAGGATAGACTTTACCTCTCCACTATAAGATCTCCCTAATTTATTGAGACTTCTCTCCCATGACCGACAGATACCTCATTGTAATGGATGTTCTTCAGGTCTCTGTCATGTGTGTGATCCTCTGAGTATCTGAACCTGTTCTTTCCCCTCTAAAAACATACATTTTTAGGTGCCTATCAACAACCTTGCCTTATGTCCAGGCTAAGACAAAATTCCACCATATACAAATATAAGACTCCCCAGAACCACCCAGTTGGTCTTGATCTCTGCATTTCTACACCCCCTTAGCATTGGGTATCAATCTAGGACTTGCAAACGTTACGTCAGTTTGTCTTTGTTAAAATCTATGCAGTAATGGAGAGAACTCTGAAGGAGGATCCTGAGGATGGTATGTTCACCCCAACTCTACCTATTATAATAGAATGATCTCTGTATATAGAATGATCTGTAAGTCACTTGATTTTATTTACACATCTGAATAAGGAAATAGTCTTATCTGTCAAGGATTTTTGTATGAGAAATACATAGGTCAAACTGATTTCTAAATTGCAACTGTTATAAAATTGTTAGTCACAAAATTACCTCCCTATTATGTTTCTTGCAGTTTCCATAGGTATCTCTTGGGAATGAGTTTGAGGGCAGGGGAAGGCTCTGTGTGGGACAGATGTGTTAGGATGCAAACATTTCTCATCCATTGGAGAACTGCTAATTGATGGAAAGAAAAAATGAGAAGCTGATGAGAAAAGTCTAGTAGTCTATAGAGAGATGAGAAGGTTCTAGCTTGACATATTCGTCAAACACTGTGTTCTTGTGTGTGATGAGCTGTTCCACTGAGGATACACAGTGAACAAAACCATGCCTGATCTATGCAAGGATTACTTTTTAGGAAGAAGAGATAGACATTTAAGCAAAGATCTTATATATTCTGTAGTAAGTTAGAATAGTACTAACTATAGTACTTACATTACTGTATTAAGGTAAGTTAGAGCAGGTCCTTCTGATAAGAGGACATGTAAGAGGAGAATGAATGAAATGTAAGAGAGATCTATGCTGATATCAGGGGGAGAATCCTTCCATGCAGATAGACAAGCAAGTTCAAAATCCCTGATACAGCAGTGGGTTTTGTGCTTTTAACATTGAGGATGTGTTTTTGGCCTGGGAAAGAAAGGCAGAATAGATGCACCTCAACAGCTATATGCCAAGTCAAACAATTCAAACTCAAAGACCATATATTACGATTCCTTTTTATGAATTGATGTGAAAATGCAAATCTACGTAAATGCAAAGGACATTAGTGGTTGCCTGAGGCTCAGGTTCAGAATGGTTGTGACTGGTAATGAAATTAGGTTTGTTTTCAAGTCACAGAAATGTTCTAAAATGGGATTGTGATGATAGTTATACAGTGTCATAAATTGACTAGAAATTTTTGTGTTATATTGTTCAAACAAATGCATTTGATATAAATATAACTCAATAAAACTGTTTTTAAAAAGTGAGTAGTGCACATATCAGGAGTAGGATCATTCCATGCAGACAGAATAGCAAGTGCAAAGGCCCAGGGTTTAGTGTATCTAACATGCAGCATATGTTTTGGGCTGGGGAAGAAAAGGGGGACAAATGATGTGTTGCACATGTGTGCATGTCTGTCTGTGTCCAAATCTCCCATCTTTATACAGACACAGTCATGTTGAATTTATGCCCACCCTAATGACTTCATTTTACCTTAATCATCTGCAAAGACACGATTTCCAAACAAAGTTACATACGCACATTTGCAGTTAGGACTTCAACATCTTTTTGGGGAACAGGATTCAATGTGCAATAGCACTCAGTGTGTTTGAAACAGGATAGACTTTACCTCTCCACTATAAGATCTCCCTTATTTATTGAGACTTCTCTCCCATGACCGACAGATACCTCATTGTAATGGATGTTCTTCAGGTCTCTGTCATGTCTGTGATCCTCTGAGTATCTTGGTTCTTGGTAGGAAGGGCCTCGATTTGTCATTCTCTGTAGTAGGAGAAGAGAAATTAGGAATCATGGCCCAGATGGGGTAAAATTTGTCATTCAACATAAACTAAGAGTAAAGTATTTGAAATTATGACAAAGAGCCCTTTTCATTCTGTCACTGACCTACTCCTTTTGTCTCTCTCTTTTCCTTTCTTTGTTGAATATTAATGTTTGATCCTGTTCTAAATCTTTGTTCAATCAATGTCCTTTCTAATCCTGCTTTTCTTATCCTTCCTCCTTCAACATTCCCAGCCCTGCAGGACATTGTGAGCAAGAAGAGCCTCAGGAGTCAAGACAGGAAGAAGCAAGGGGAACATTGCAACAGATTTGTCAGTACAGGTAAATCCACAGAAGGAGGTGACCTGCTCCATGTGCCTGGAGTTCCTAACAGAACCCCTGAGCGTGGACTGTGGCTGTCGCTCCTGCCAAGCCTGCATCATTGCAAAGAACAAGGAGTCAGTGATCTGCCCAGGAGGTGAATGCAGCTGTCCTATGTGCCAGAGCAGACACCAGCCTGGGACACTCCGGCTTAATTGACACCTGACCACCATAGTGGAGAGAGTCAGAGAGGTCAACACGAGTCCACACAAGCGGTAGAAGAGAGATCTCTGTGAGCACCATGGAGAAAAACTCCATATGTTCTGTAGGGACAATGAGAAGGCCATTTCCAGGCTTTGTGTGCTCTCTGTGGAGCACCAGGGTCATGAAATATTCTGCATGGAGGAGGAGGTCAAGGGAATTCAGGTAGGCCCCAGTTTGGAGGAAGATAAGACAGAATAGTATCTAAACTGGAATCTTCACTTTTTTATCCTGCTTTATTACCATTGTCATGATAGAACTGAGCCCTGTGATCTTTCCATACCCTTTCTCAGCTCTGAGGCTTGAAGGGCATTTCTGTACATTCATTCATTTGCTTCAGAATAAGCCAAGACTACAAACTCTTAGCAAAGAGAAGCTGGATGAGCGGATAATTGCTTCCCAAGATAAGTTCTGATTTCCCCTCTGAGCAGAAGGGATTTTTGGGAACATGGTTGGTTGGATGTGAGAAAAGTGTCAATGGGAGGAAAGGACTTTCCTTGTTCCAGGATCAGTTCTTCTACTAGGGAAAGAGAGATACAGGCTATTCTTGAGGAAGGGATTGTAACTTGCATCTCCCAGGGTTAAAGAAAACATTCACCCCTCCAGATTTTTGTCTACATCCTAAATTCTACTTGCCAGTTTCCTTTCTGTAAACTTTAGTCTCCTCTGAGATGAGCCTGATTTCTACCCCATTTATGCAGGTCCTGAGAAAGCTCATAGCTTGAGTCTGATGGTTCCTTTCTCACAGGAGAAGCTCCAGGAAGCTCTGAAGAAGCTGAGGAAGGAGCAGCAGGAAGCTGTGGAGCTGGAAGCTGACATCAGAGAAGAGAGAGTTACCTGGAAGGCAGGAACATATTTTCCTGTGGGAGTTTGTTTGTTTGTTTTGTGAGGAAGATTGGCCCTGGGCTAACATCCGTGACCATCTTCCTCTACTTTATATGGGACACCGCCAACAGCATGACTTGACAAGCGGTGCGTCTGTCCACACCCTGGATCTGAACCCGTGAACCCCAGGCCGCGGAGCGGAGCACGAGAACTTAACCACTACGCCACTGGGCCTGCCCCTCTGAGGGAGTTTGAGAGAGGAAACTGGCCAGCCTCATGGTTCAATCACATAAAGGCCCCTTTTTCTTTGTTACTTCAGAATTAATGAGTGTGGAAGACATTTGATTAGTCCTCACTTCATTCCTTCTTTGTTGGAGGTTGAGGGCTAGAGAACAGACATATCACAAGTGAATTTGAATATTTGGAGGTCAAAGTATAGAGGGAAGCAGTGTAAAAATGACTCGTGAATCCCATATCCCATTTTCATCCTCAAGTTTGAGGCTCTGGTACCTCCAGAACCATGTAGAGAAAGGCCCAGGATTCCCTGTTTAGGAAGTACGGGTAGAGGGCCTTAATATACAGTGTAGCATGATTATCCAGGACAGGGGTCTGCAATTCAAGCCTCCTCCAGCTACGACATTTTGTCTCAGGGTGGGCCTTGATAGAGTAGACTTGAATATATTGCTTTGGGAAGAGCTCCAAGGGAAAGAGCAGGAAAAATGGCTTTCCCAGGAATTTCTTACTGTCTTTAGCTCCTGTCACTTTGAGAACACTGTGAGAAAAATAGTTCTTGTCTCGGCTCCCACACCCACACAAAGTAGGCCCTCGTCCAGACAGACTAACAGCCTCTTTCTCTTTTCATCCCCAAAGAATTATATGCAGACTGAGAGACAGAAGATTCTGAAAGGGTTAATGAAATGAGAGCATCCTGCACAGTTTGGAACAGAAGGAGCTGCAAAAGCTGGAGGAAGACAAGGTGAATGTGCTGGAGAACTTGGTGTCGGCTAAAGACCAGCTGTTCCAGCAGAGTCAGAAAGCTCGTCTCAGATCTGGAGCATCAGATGTGGGGCTCATCAATAGACACAGCAGGTAAGACTTGATGGAGCTGCTACATATGAGATTCAGAGAAATAACAGAGACTAAGTTTTCTTCCCTTCTGTGTTCCTGTGCTTTCTTCCTCCTGGTGACATTAAAAGGTCTTTTGGCCCTTCAGTGCCCCTTCTGTGTCATTCATTTCAAGGGTCATAGGAATAATTCAATGTACAAATGGCAAGGGAAATTCCCATTATTATTAATTTATAAAAGGCAGTGCAAAAATTTGGAGAGAATATTCCTTATAGGCTCCCATTAGCTAGCATTTAAGGCCTCTCCTCACTAAGCTTAGTTACTAGCAAACTACACAAAATCTTTGTTTATGTTTGATTTTTGTTGTTGTTATTGAGGAGTGACAAATGTACGACTAGACTCTGTCATATCTGAGTGAGGGATGTGCATGTATGATTATGTGTGAGTGCTTCTGTGTATGAGTGTGTGTGTATGTTTGTGTGTTTGTGTTGGCTAGGGAAGGATGTGGGGGCAAACCTATGGAGACTTGATAGATGAATTGTACCTAGCGTGAATGCTAAAGTTTATTTCTGTGGCATTGGCAGTGTTACTGTTATCTTAAGCTATGAACTATGTTAGGAAATTCAGGAAATTTCAAATTTTGTCTACTTGACTTCTTGCCATTTTCCTTTACCAGCTGAACAAGAATTACTTTACTTAACTTTTGTGCCAATACTAGGGTAATCAATTTTCATCTGCTGGATTTTTACCTTTGCCTTAAAAAAAAATACATATTTCTTGAGGTATAATTTATATATTATAAAATCCACCCATGCTAAGTGCACTATTACAGGAATTTTAGTAAATATGTTGAGTTGTCAAACAACTAAAAAATTCAGTTCAACGTTTGCTGAAAAGACTCTCCCTTCCTCCAGTGAATTACGTTGGCACCTTTTCAAAAATCAATTTTCTCTAAATGTAATGATTTATTTCTGGATTATCAATCTGTCACATGGATCTATATGTCTATTTTTGCGCTGATACTCTGAGCTTTTGATTACTGTGGCTTCATAGAAAATTTTGAAATTGGGTAGGGTAAGGCTTCAAACTTTGTTCTTGTTTCAAAATTGTTTGGAAAAAAAATAGAAACAATTCTATATTTCAAAACAATTCAATTCTAAGCCAGTCGTTCTCTACGGGGACAATTGAACCATCCTCGAGCCAGGGCACATTTGGAGAGGGCTACTGCCCTCTAGTGGGCAGAGGCCAGAGATGCTGCTAATTCTCCCACAATGCATAGGGCAGACTCCACGACAAAGATTACCTTGGCCAGGATACCAGTAGCGCCAAAGTTGAGAAACTCCTGGCTGGGTCCTTTGAATTTTCCATGACAGTTTTGACATATCTTGTTAAGTTTTATTAAAAAGCCTGCTGGAATTTTGATAACCATTAGATGGAATTTAAAGAACAGTTTGAGGAGTATTGCCATCATAACAATGTAAAATCTCTCCATTTGTTTAGGTTTTCTTTAAACTCCATCGGCAGGATTTGTAGTTTCTAACCCAAAAGTCTTTTACCTATTTTCTTCAATTTTTGAGTCAATTGTTTTTGATTCTATTATAAACAAAAGTGTTTCTTTCTTACTATATTTTTCATTACTAGTAATCAAAAGTACAATAGATTTTTATATTGATCTTGTATCTCACAATATTCCTAAACTCTTTTGCTAGTTTTAGTAGTGTGTGTGTGTGTGTGTGTGTGTGTGTGTGTATTCCTTGAGATTTTCTACATAATAGATCATGTCATCTGTAAATAAATCCAGTTTTACTTACTTTCAGATCTGGACAATTTAATTTATTATATTTCTCTCACATTTTCCTTTTTGTTTAGTTTTTTCTTATCTGATCTATTAAATTCTATTTTCTATTGTTCATCTTTCTCTATTTCATGTTTATGAATGTGATATTATTCCTATTCAAAACTAGACAGTCAGAAGTAATACTCAGTTGTCCAAGGATAACCAAGTAAAACCTGGGAGTGAACTAACTCAGAAAAAGTATAAGCCCAGAAATAGCACACTGATGTGATCATTTGAGTTCATCAGACCAGTTATTCCTGGCGCCAGATAGATTACTGGATCTTTCATTTATTTGTTTTGGCACAATCTACTTCCATCTTTTTCTAATCAAGCCTACTTGATTTTGTATTTGGTCATTTGAAATGAACACAATGCTGAGTAATTTGTAAATGATTCCCTGTGTCTGTTAGGCTGCAAAAGGAAGATGGAAGTGAGGCGGCTCTTACACAATCTCTCATTGTATAGTGGGATTGTTGATTTGTATGTGGCTAATTTGTTTAGCCTTTAGTAATGACCTATACGACTGAGAAATTCCAGTTAAAGTTCTAAGAGAGCCTCATTCTTTTTGCAACAAAGTTCAGCTTTTCTATTCCAAGTTAAAGTTAGTGCCAGCAATTCACAGAAGATGAAAGCACAGCATGAGTTATGATTGGGACTAACGAAGAGCCAGAGACTGAGACAGCAGTCAGAGAAAGGTCAGGTATAAATTTCCTAACTGAGAAAGGGCTCAAGAATATCACTACGAATATCTATTCATTGGAATGCAGATTAGGGAAAGGGGCCAATAATCTGTTTTGAACTAACTCTAGGACAATGTTCACATGTTAACAAATAAACTAAACTCTTGGATACAAATCTGTAGGACTGGAAGGGATCTCTAGTTTTTGGTACTAGCTCGTATAAGGGGCCATAGAAAAACTAAATCAGGGGCCAGCCCCGTGGCATAGTAGTTAAGTTCGGCATGCTCTGCTTTGGTGGCCCAGAGATTGCAGGTTCAGATCCCAGGTGTGGACTTACACCACTCATCAAGCCATGCTGTGGCAGCGATCCACATTCATAATAGAGGAAGATTGGCACAGATGTTAGCTCAGGGCCAATCTTTCTGAGGCAAAAATAGGAGGATTGGCAACAGGTGTTAGTTCAGGGCCAATCATTTTCGCCAAAAAGAAAAAAAAAGCTACATCACACAATATTTTAAGGAATAGTTGGGATAGATAAATCAGAATCATGGCAAATGATGCCTATGATTGTTCCATTCCTGAGGCAATATACAGACTTTAATATGCATCCTGGGAGACTGTACCTGTTGGAAAGGTATAGTCACATAATTGACATTCTCTTTAATTTTCATCTTGGATGAGTCCATGTACCACTACTGACAGGAATAGATCTGGAGAAGCCATGCGGCCCAATGAAGAAACTTTTTTAGTTTTGGCTATTCTTCTTCAAATTGTTATAATGTGTGACAGGCTTGTGGCCTTTACCCTCCACAACTCTGCCAACCAGGACTTCAGGTGACTCTGTTATCTGGACTATTTTTTGGCAATGTTTGGAATGGATCATTGTATCATATATACGTTGGTTGCTAGATCATGAGGAGCTACCTTTAGACTGATAAGGATGAAAATGACAGAAATACTGGTCTTGAAAGTAGGTCTGAATAGTAGATGAGAGTTTAGATCTTCTACCCTAGAAAAGCCTTCTCATCCATTTCTTTTAGCAACTTTATTCATATACGTTACAATTCATTCAAGTTTAAAATTCAATTGTGTTTGGTATATTACATTGTTAAAATTTTAAAACAATTGTGATAAAACATGTAACATAAAATTTAGTACTTTAACTATTTTAAAGTGTATACTTCAGGGGTATTAATTACATTTACAATATTGTGCAAAACTCACCACTACTTATTTCTAAAAGTTTTCATCAACCCAAACAGAAATTCTAACCCTTAAGCAATAACTCTTCATTCCCCATTCTCCTTGACCCCCGTTCCTAATAACCGCTAATCTACTTTCTGCCTATATAAATTTGCCTATTCTAGGTACCTCTATAAGTGAAATCACACAATATTGATCCTTTTGTGTCTGGCCTATTTCATTTAGCATAATATTTTTAAGCTTCATCCGTGTTATAGCAGGTATCGGAACTTCATTCTTTTTTATGGCTGAATAATATTCCATTGTGTGTGTATACTACGTTTTATTTATCTATTCATCTGTTGATGGACGTGGGTTGTCTCCACCTTTTGGCTATTGTAGATAATACTGCAATGAACGTTGGCAGAAAAGTACCTGTTTGAGTGCCTGCTTTCAATTCTTTTGTGTATACACCTCAGAGTGAAATTGCTGGATCATAATTTTAACTGTTTAGGTTTTTAAGGAACCATCAAATTGTTTTCCATATGACTGCATCATTTTATGTTCATAGCAGCAATGTACAAGGGTTTCAGTTTCTGCATATCTTTGCCTATACTTATTAATTTTTATGAATTTCTTTGCC